GAATCAGTGGTGGGAAGGGATGAACTCCATCCCTCTGGCTGATCCCGAGGGCGGGGAACTGATGCCTGCTGAGGATGCTGCTACTGCTGTTATCAACCCCATTGTGATCGTTTCAGCCCAGGGTATGGAGTGAAACCTGCGTGGGTGCACCCTGAAAGAAAAGAAAGGCAAAAACACTCCGGAAAGGAAGGATCAGAGGATCAAGAGAGAAGGAGAGAGGTGGAGGAAGGTGAAAAAACCCTGAATAGTATTGATACAATTGTTCTACCTTCAGAAAATGCTGGGTGTGCTGTGTATCTGGGATACAGCCTCTGTGGCTGCATTGTGGGTCTGGGGCTTTTCCAGGAATTTGGATGAAACTTCCTTGAATGTGCAACTCTGCAGCTCCTTGCTCCTCAGTGACAGGTTTTATTCTGTGGCTCTGAATGACTCTTTCTGTCTGTGATATAACTGATTTTATTAATTACTTTAGATGCAGGATCTGGAGCTGCTCCTGAGCATCAGCTGGGAGCTGGTGAAGGGACAGGGTGTGCTCTCAACAGCTGACAGCAGGAAGGAGCAGCCAGTTCCTTAACATGGATTTCACTTTGTCATACAGTGAATTGCTCAGCCCAGGTGAGCAGGGACAGATCTGTCACTCCTCTCACCTCTGACACAGCTGTGCCAGCTGCAGCCTTTATAGCCACCTGCTCATGACTCCCTGGGTCGTTTGCCATCTAAAATCTTCATTAGCTGCAAACACCAGTGCTACACCAGGTACTCCATCCTTCCATTCTTTCTTCCTGCTTTCCCCAAAACGAGCACCCGGGTTCCCTCTTGGTCAGGTCAGATGAAACAGCACCAGGAACACCCAGGGCTGGGATCAGGACCAGGGCTGAGTGTCAGAGGGAGGGATGGTTCGATACAGTTAATTATTCACAAACATGGCCACTTCCCTCCCTTCCTGGTGCAGGAGATGGGATTGATTTGGCAGCTCAGGGCTCTCCTGAGGGCGAGGAGGGGAGGTGCCTCCCAGAGAGGGATTGATCCCCTGACCTCTGCACAACCTGGGGCTGTGGCAAACGAGGGCCCAGAGACACCTGTCACAGGAACTGGGCTGAATGTTGTGCTGCTGCAGGTCCCCCTTTGCACTGCTGATGCCTCCTGGCTGTTTTGGTGCTGTGGGGGAGGTGAGAGGTTGGTCCGTGTTTTAATCCTGGCGTGACTGTACACATGAGGAAATGGATCACCGGGTATGGTGTAACCCTTCTCCTCGAGCCAACAGATCTGACACCCAGCCTAGAGCTGCTGGATCTTTACAGGGCCTCCTATTGCACAGCCCTGACCTTTGGCTGGTGCAAAATGCACTGTCAGCTCTGCAGAGGCTGGGGAGGGACAAGGTTCCTGGCATCAGGTACAGCAGCACCTTCATTAGTCTTTTGAAGAGGTGGATGGGGAAGAGAAACGGGGTTTGTTCTTTTTTTTCTATGCAAGGGAATGGCAGGTAAGGAAAACTGTTCTATACAGTAGAGCTAGCAAGAATGAGGAAAACCAGTACTTTCCTGTGCTGTGTGCTGAGGTTTTTGTTGGTTTAGGCCTGACTGTGGTCGTGTTCTGCCCAGACAGGCTCATCTGGCCACTCAGGTCTGGCTGTCACGGGCTGTGCTGTCACTACTCTACAGCTGCAGGAGCAGCCAGCACCGTGTCCTTTCTGCCTGAATGTATTGATGAAAACTAAACATATCATGGGAACAGCAGAAGACATGCAGAGTGGAACTGGGTTCACTAGACTAGGTTGAAATCAGAAACCACTGCAGCTCTCCCAGTGACTTTTTTTCAGTACTTGTGAGGGGGCAGAGCCTGGAGCCACAGGGCATGGCCAGGTTGTTCTGCACCACCCACATCATCACCAGGGGCAGGGGAAGGGACCCTCCCTTCGTGGCAGATGGGCAAGAGCTGGTCAGAATTTGTTTGTTGTCCTGGTTTCCTGTGTAAATCATTTCTTTGTCTTATATTTTCTGCTATTAATATTGTTGCTGTTAATGGTTTTCTCATCTCGTTTCCAGGAAATTGTTCTTATCTCAACCCATGATTTTCACCTTTTGTGCACCCAGTTCTCAACCCCATCCCCAGAGCAGAGAGGGAAGAGGGAAAGGGAGGGAAGCGAGTGGCATCTGGTTTGGGAGAGTCTCAGTGGGGGCACTGAACTGGGGAATAACATTCCTAAAGCACAACCACCTTGTACCTCATTACACAGACCTGCACATTTTATCTCCAGTGCTGCACTCAGCAAACAGAGCAACAATCTGGGAAGAATGTTCCCTGGTAGAAATGCTTAATCTACTGATCTCAGGCCAAACCCCCATGGATTCTCCATGGGGCTTTTGGAAGGTTTCCTGGGTGCCAAGAAATATCTTTCATTTAGAGTTGAAAACGATCCAACTAGACAGGGCTGAATTAATTCCTAATCTAAACACTCCCTGACCCAGATGGGCTGGGAATTCTTAAATATGGGAATGGTAAGTGCAGAAGACACAGCCAGAGTAGTTTTAAAAGGGGAGGCATCACTGCCTTTCCAGAACGCTGAATGTGTGCAATGGGCACATCTCCAATGATTAAATCCTGTTTAGACCTGGTCCTTCCCCCGCAGGGAGTGTCCAATTAAGCGCAGGATGTGCCTGAGTTGCCAGAGTGGAACCCCAAAGGGCTGGGCTCTGCTTTCCTTTCGCAAGGCTCCCTCCATGACAGCCAGAGCACTTGCAGCAGTGTCTGCATACACATTAGCATTTCACGAGCAAGTTTAGTATCAGCATTCTCTGCCTCGACCGCTTGGCTTTGGAACCACACTGTGGTTACAAAGGGCTAATAACCTGCTAATAATCTGCCCCAGGTCCCTGCCTGGGCCACCTGCACTTCAGGGGACTCTCGTGGCTTCTCCAACCTGCAGGAACCCAAGGCCCTACCTGAGGCTGAAAGATCCCAAGATCTCATGGCACAAAGGCTTCGTCTCAAGAATTCCCATCAGACTGTTCATTTCTTCTTAGCGTTTCCAGAGTCTGTGTGATCCTATTGTAATATTTAGGAGTCAGCAGGAAGCACACCTGGATCCCATGGAGGACTCACCTCCCCTCTGCCACCAAATGGCAGCAGGAGCTCCCAGCACTCCCCACCACTGAGCAGTGCTGCTCTGAGGTGGGTATGAATCGCTGCCATTCTGATGTGAAGGCCTCTGACCCGAGGTCTCCCATCCACAGGAGAAGTGTTCCACTAACTGGGAAAGCTGCCAACACCCCCCAGCTCCGTCCCAGTGCCACCCACTACTCCCCAGTATCAGCAACCCACACATACCATTTTTTGAAGGTCATTTACTCAGCGTTAGCCAAGCTGATTTCCACAACCTGCTTTGCACAGTGGTGCCTTCCAAACCAAGCTTGTGCAGCACATGTTATATTTAAAGTAACACAGACTATAACTGGGGCATTACAGGTCAAAACACGTTCCCCAAACAGACAACAATCTAAGTGAAAGTGTGAAATTAGTGACATGATCCCACCATTTTGCTGTGCCTGTGCAGAACCCCAGCGAAGCTCTCCTGCCTTTTGAGGTACATCTCCTTGATGAACCTGTTGAGTCGCTGGGCTGAGGACCAAGAGACAGGAAGGGCAGGAGGGAAGCAGCAGTTTTGATGTCAAA